TTCATTTCCAACCATGAAGAGGCAGATCAATAAAGTGCTTTAACAACGAGGTGGAGAAGGAAGTGCCAGCAGAAAGATGCGGCTTCACTTGAAATAAGACAAAGAAGCAACGAAGGCTTCCACTGTTGAGCGACACTTCTGACAGCAGCTGGATTGAGAGTCAATTCAGAGTGTGACACAAACGAAGACCCAGACGTGCCCCGCCCCCAGGACACCCAGCGTGCTCGGCCGCTTGCACTTAGCCCTGTCTGCCCGCATCCATCCCAAGTCATTTCAATCTAATTCAATTCCACCCTCTCCCTGCAGCTCTGATGTCTTTCCATGATTATATAGGACATGTCATTAAAAAAATAAAAATAAAACCCAATATCCAACAGATCACACTGCCTTGGGGGAGATATTTTACACTTGATCTTAGGTCAAAGGCCAAGAAGCCATGGGGGTAAGGTATTTTAAAAGGCCCTTCTAGACCTTTCTGTCCTATACTTGTCAGCGAAACATTGGTAACACCACGAGGATGGCACTGGCATTTGGGGTGGCGGGGTTGGGAGAACTTTCTCCACTTACTTGGGGCGGCTGTGGATCCGAAGCCCCCGCTGGCCGAGCTGAATGGGTTTTTGTTGGCTGCGTCCTGGCTGGGGTTCCCTCCAAGGCCACTGAAGAAACCTCCCCCTCTTCCAGCGCTGCCAGACCCGAACACGCTGCCACTGGAGGACGGCGGCTGCTGAAAAATAACGGGCAGGAAGCAGGCAGGGTGAGAGGTCACCGCGGCAGGCCACATCCGCGGACAGGAGGCGCTCACAGCCGGCATGAACGGAAAAGCAGCAGAGGTCTGATTAGTTCTGGTGCGGACGCTCTCACACCACAGAGAAGCTGGGCTCTGGCACAGGGCCTTCCTGCACATCACAGTGCTCAGCTAGCCCACTCTCGCGGGCCCCTGAAAACATGACTGATGGTGGGTGGGAACTTTAATTTTTCTCTATATATTTACTGGTTGATTTCAGAGAGAGGAAGGAGGAGGGAGAGAGAGACAAAAACATCAATGATCCGAGAGAATCACTGATTGGCTGCCTCCTCCAGGCCCCGCACTGGGGATGGAGCTCACAACCTGTGCCTGTGCCATGACC